TTTATAATGGAACTCTGAGTTTTATGGACAATAGTTAATGGTACGAAAACACAAAACACACACTGTACATCACTTAAAAGTCACAGTTAGATACCTTCATCCTCTCTCTGCTGGTTGCTCTGCATTTTGTAGTTGGTCCTGTTCATTCTGTAGCTGCCTGATGAGATTGTCCAGCAGGCTTCTCTGTTTTCTGCCGTTTGCTGGCCAAGTACCTGCTCAACCAACTCTCCATCACCTAAATGACAAAAAGGCAGGACTCTCAGTTTCCTCAGTTCAAACTGTGTGAGCGTTCTGAACTTTTAACAACAAGGGAGCAAGTTTTACTGTTAGCCATGTATCCCAGCTGGGGAACCAGCTGGTCTTCCTTGCAGTTCTCTCTTCCCGGCACCAGGCGCTGGTAATGTGTAGGGTGAGGATTCCCATCAACATCCACCAGGAATGGTGGAGGCATGAGATGTGGGCTTGCTGTGTCTGCTCGTCCAGCACATAGTTGTTAGCGTCACGGATAAGAGGTCGGTAGTCCGTGTGGAAGAACATCTGGTCAGGAATCTGGAAACAATTTGTGTTAATAATGAGATTTAGAGAACTACATATCGCTGCTTACATTTAAAATGTATAACACCCAATCACAAATACACAAGAAACAGTACCGAAAAAGCTAAACCGTAAAAAGACAAAAACAGTACAAGACTGTAAAACAAAACTGTTATGAGTGTTTACCTTCTCATATGGCCTGCTGCAGCCAAATCCAAAGATGAGCAAATGGCCGTGTGAGTCAGTGCAGGCAAAATGCTGGCCATCCGCTGAGAACTTGCAGTCAAAAATAGCACCGTGGCCTTGGCCTTCAATCTGGAAACAAACAATTTCTCATGAACACTGTGGTAGCGTAAAAATAAATTAATTAATGTTGGAAGATTGTGATTCTAGAGAATTACCATGTTGAAGAAGTTTCGGATTTTGACTCCTTTGGACAGGTCCCAGATGTAAATGTTGCCATCATGGCCAGCAGATAGTAGGATGCGGGAGTCAATGGGGTGAGCTTCCATGACGAACACTTCATCATCATGACCCTTTACGAAGGAGACGGCAAACATTCAGGGCCGTTAGTCTCACAAAAAATAAAAACGGCATTAGACAAAAAGAAAAAAAACTATGCAGAGTAAAAGGGCAGCCACTCACTGATAAAATGTGCAGCAGCTGTCCTGTGGTTGAGCTCCACACTTTGAGCAGGTAGTTTGACACGGCTGTGATGACAGTGTTATCAGTGCGGTCCCAGGCCACCATGGTCACCACCAGCTTGGTTTTATCATCTCCGTTTGTAGCAGCCGTCCTGGAGGAAAATATCTTCCATCAGAAATGAAACACTGAGCAGTTAACAGATAAAAGAAGCGGGCATCATACGCACTGTTTATTCACTTACCCTGGAAGTCTGGCAGCCATGTCTAAAGTGACACTCTTCCACTCTTGTTGCTGGTATTGCCAAATTCTGGCTGTGCCGTCACGACTGCCACTCACAAACCTCAAGCTGAACACAAACACACATTTAACTGTCAGAGGCTCGAAAGAAAAAATGTAATAACAGTTTGAAGTCTAGGAAACACACTCACCTGTCACTGTTATTGCTAAACTGGACGACCACTACTTTATCCTGATGACAAAGACAAAGGAGATGATTTTCAGTTACAGAGACTTTGGTTAAATTAAGTTCTTAGACTAAAACAGACCGAAACAGCAACGCGACAGGTTTCTTACCGTGTGAGCGTCCATCTCAGAGACCTTCATGGGAGTTTCAGCTCCAAGGTAGTAGACCCTGATCAAATGATCAGTGCCGCCAGTAGCCATGAACATGCCACCTATTAACAATAAACGGAAGAAATGTAGGTGACAGGAATACATTCAGTCTACTTCAATATCAATACAGCCACATCCTCTTGTTCGGTCACTTTTAATATACGTTGGATATCTTTGCCAAATGTATCTTGAAATGTGCTAATGTTCTTTTTTTTTTTTTTTCATAAAGGAAATGATAGGAGGCGAGAACTACACTCACCACTGCTGAAGGAGGAAGTGGAGACCTGTACTCCTGGTCGTGAGCGCTCGACAAACTTGACAGGTTGATCACTGAGAGATGGGAGTAAAACGAAAAAGAAAAAAAAACGTGTATGCCTATCAATTTTAAAGGAGCAATTTTACAGAACTTAAAAAGACAGATATGACCCGATCACTTACTTGAACGTTGTGCTGATCGAGTGCCACTTCCAGAAACACACCATGCCGTCTGCACCGGTGGAGGCCAGATACCGTGTTGTCCCTCTAATAGCCGGACAAAACTGAGGGGGTAGAGAGTCAGTGTTGGATACTTGCCAAGGAGTAAATCGTATTAAACAAAAACAATTATAATTATAATTATAATAAAAAGACACATTTATAATCACTGATCACTCATCAGCTACCTTGATAAGTCCTGAAAATAAGCACCCTCATCCATATTTGTTTGACTTATTGATTTTAAGAAGCATCAGCCTCACCTGTATCGATGTGATGGAGGCAGCGTGGGCCTGCAAGACAGTGATGGGTGCACAGGTACGTAGGCACCACACCCTGATGGTTTTGTCACAGCTGGCTGAGGCAATGAGAGTATTCTCGTGATTGACAGCCATGTCACAGATCTCTGCCGAGTGGCCACGGAGAGTTGAAAGGAGCCGGCCGTCATCTGTTGCCCAGATTTTCACCAGGCAGTCATCAGAACCCTAAAACACACAAGGCAAGGCAAGTTTATTTCTACAGCACATTTCAACAGCACATTTCAACGGCTTGCTGTTAATGTTCAGTGTCAGGTTTCACATATCGGCGCCAGAGTTTCACAACCTGGCTACTTGCTTAGGTGTTATTAGCTGCAGTTTTAGACCAAGGTAGTGTATCCTCCTCCCACAGCAGTTCTCTTAAACTTGCATTTACTCTTCTATACATTTTAGTGTTTCTAAGTATACAGGTGAAATACTAGGTACTTTCATTGCATGCATTACAGGAAAGCATTTCAACAGTCACACACTATTGACCTGCTAAACGTTCCTCTGACGCTCTGACCACCAACACTGTGTCTGGTGTCTCCTTTGTCATATCTGTCATTTTCATTTCACTATGTTTACGCAGCCTCGAAAAAAAAATACCATATGGGCCAAAGTTATCTATTTGAACAGCAAGGCAATTCAAAGTGCTTCACGCAAGCCATCAAAATCATCATGAGACAGAGAAAAAAGGAACATTACAATTCAAAATTAAAATTAAATCACTAACGCAAACCACTGACAATCACAGAGAAGAAACTTCCACCCTCAGGAAATCCCAACTCACAAGACACAAGACATTGGTAACAAATAAATCAACCAGTTTAATGGTGAATTATCTATCTGAGAAAGATAAACACATCAGGAGCCTTTCCGGATAGGGGCAAATGAGTAAAATCCCCTGAAGTTTCTTTTCAATAGATTCTGAGCTACAGTTAAAATTAATATGTCACTTGAATGCATACAGAACTACATCCTGTTCTCTGTGATTACTATCCCGGGGTGTGATTTTTACATATGTATCCGGAATAATCGATCTTGCAACCTAAAAGGTGACCTCTGAGACTCTCGTAGTAGTAGTAGTTTCCAAGCATAGACTATACCTGAATGTACTGCCCAGCTATATTTAAGGCTAACTAAGTACATTTATTAGCTTCGTCTTCTTTTATTTGCATAAGATCACCAAACTTGTGGACGAACTGAACTAGCCAACACCCACTCTGCTTAAGCGTATTGATTAGTGCCCGCATGCTACGCAGGTGATCATAGAGAGAGAGAGACATCCATTATTAAATCTGTCCTATAAATGAACTGAGGCTCACAGGTAGCAAATCAGTATATCCTGTTGGCCTGTCCTAAAGTACCTTGTGCAAGATATTACATTTTTCTACTATTCTGTACGTCTTTGTGTGTGTCTGTTTGTGGTAATTTGTTGCTACTTTGTCCTTTGCCGATCAAATGCATGTACTATTCATAATCTCCAAACCTTAAGATGGAGGGATACTGGATACACTTTCTTCTTTTTTTAATCTTTTGGTTAAATTTGACTTGTCAAATGGACGTTAATCAAGTAATAAACATAAAGATTTGCAGCCACAATTATCTGGCACTAATCATCACGTACCGTAAATATTCGACGACCAGTGCGATCAAAGGCTACACAGTACACTGAAGAAAGGTGTCCAAGGATACGTTTGTGTATCTTCATGTGTTGGTAGGAGGAAGAAGGCAGTGCCTGGCTGAAACGAGCTGTTCCTGTGGCCTGGCGAGCTCCCATGATGGACACTTGAAATGAAGACACATGATTTGTAGAAGCAATCATTAGCTTTATTTCATTATTTGCTGATACCTGGTCTAGGTTTTTTTTTTTTTCTCGTTTTTTTTTAAGGGTAGACAAAATAGATAAATATACACACCAACATTGGGAGCCTCCCCATTGCTGACTGGGGGTTCTGGTGGACGTCCTCGATGGAGTGCAGCAACAGCCGAACCGCTGCATACTTTGTGGCTACAACCTTAAACACACAGGCAGTAAATTAAAACAGAGAAAATGATGAACAGAGGTCTGCTTGATCGGAGGGATGTGCTCACTTTTGGTGGTACGAAGCAAGGACTGTCTTCCTAGCCCCAAAAGTGTTTTGACTCCGGGAACACTAGGTGGGATCTCCTTCTCTATAAGTGGGCCAATCCGCTGGCAGACACGGAGCAAATAGTCTGCAGGAATGTGCTGGTTTAAAATCACCTGCAAGAGTCACAAACAGCTATTACAAAGTAGCAAAACAAATTTATAACGAGCATGTAATTACAAAGAGAAATCATCAAGGTTACAGTCTGTAAAATTGCCTTAACAAAATAAGTAAAGAAGAGTTTAACAAATTTAAACATATTCAGCTTTGTTCTATAGATAGCTGTTTTTTTTTGTCTTTTCTGAAAAATAGTTGTGTTTAAATTGGGCTATACTGGATTTTCAAGGCTGCTGTATTATTTCTATTAGAAATTGTAAAAATAGTTAATCCCCAGACAGTTTATTGGCACACAAAGACAATTAATAATAATCCAATAAAGTGTTGGTATTACAATATTACTAAATGTTTTCATCTGCTCTTCTAAATGTAGTAATAAGCTAACCTTATGGCGCATCTAAACTAGTTTATTTTCTAAAATTAAATACTAATTTAAATGAGTAATTATAAATACGATTTAAAACAACAAGAATTATCATCTGTCTGTATCCATACCAAACGTACATATGATTGAAATGCTGGTGTGTATTTTAATGAAAGTCAACTTCTAACTTTAATCTTTTAATTCTCACACTATGCTTCTATTCATTGCTGAATTTAAAAGCCTTTGAAACAACAACGAAGACAAGGAAGAGAAACAGGACGGCAAGCGCTACTCACAGCCAATCAGAAACGTCTTCTACTATTTTTCCGGGTCGCTTGCTAAAAGCCAGTAATTTAATTGGTCCCAACAGAAGACTGACAGCTGGCTGCATCAGATTCAACCAATCACAGCGCGCCCTTGACTAGTCTCCTCCCACAAGCCCACACAAAGCCTCTACATAGTGATTTATCGGCTGGCATACACTAGTATAAATGTGTTAAATATGTTAAATAAACCTATACGTGCTATCAACAAGTTTGTTCTTTACAGTTGATTAAATTAAATATTAAAACCTCCGCTTATGCGTTTTATTTTTTTAAAACAGATGCGAGGCGCAATATTTAATAAAAAAAAAAAAAAAAGTTAATAATGATTTTTCTGTACTTACCCAATCTTGAAAGGTCCGTTTGTAAATCTTCCCATCCCAACTCCATCGTTGAGGGACCAACTAAAGTTAAAAGATAATCTGTTAGAGATAGCATCAAGCTGCTAGTTTAGCTTTTAGGGCTCGACAACTCGCTGCTTTATCCAACACAAACCAGAATTTATGAAAAACCTGCCCTCAAATCGACGAGATAGGAAGCATGACGGAAACCACAGAGGAAAATAAAAAGAGAAAGGTCCAGCTGAACCTACCTCATACTGCTCCAGCTCCTCCACCAGGATCTAACAACACACACACACACACACACACACACACACACAGTTAGCATTCACCGCTAGCATTCGCTTCTTTAAAAATAAATCAAGTTGGAGTTAATATTTCGCCGATAAGACGATGTTACCTGCGCTGCTCTTTTACAGGGCCCAGACTGCAGGAATCTGGCAATGAGGTAATATAATTCTGAAAAAGAAAACGCGTTGTATTAGCTCGGTGCTAAGTGATGTTAGCCAGTCGGGTAGCCCAGCAGCTGACACACAACAACAAAGTGTGTGAAGTCCAAAGTGTTTGTTAGTGGGACACAGGGACGCGCAGCACTCACCAGCTTCGGTGTGTGAACTCCGTTCTCTTGCCATCACTTGATAACACGGGCGACATAAAGACAAACCGATGTTTTAGCCTGCTCCTTAGCCGCCGGCTAGCTAACAGTAGCTTGATGTGCTAACACAGGCTGGTGAGTGGCCTCCTCCTTTCTCAAGTTGTCCCAGACCACCTGGTGCTTTGTGTTAGCGCCCTCCAGTGGCACACTGCAACACTGTCTGCTTTGTTGCCTCGATTGCAATAAATATGAGATTCAAATATTAAAATGTACAGCTTTTGGTCTTTCATTTTGATACATGCATTGTAAAAACATGGGTTAACCACACCACAGTGGTTGTTAAAAAGAGATATTGAACCCTCAAAACACACACCAGTAGACTGAGGATCAGCTTCTTCCACCCAGGCCATTAGACCTTTTATTTATTTTTTTACTTTTACTTTGTTTTTATTTTTTTTTCTAAAGAGTTGCTTCATTCATATCGTTATTTCATTTCAGCATAAGATGTTGAATGAATCAAAAAAAGAAACTACCCCCAAGAAAAGAAGCAGCAACATCTTTAGAAATGAATACACAGACATACGTACACATCGAAACAATGAAATAAGAAAGAGAAAAATAAAGTAAATATTAAATAAATAAATAAAATGAAATAGAAAACAAGCAGACAAAAATAAGGGGAGGGATGTAGCCCCTATGTTCAATGCAAATTGAGGTTTCCACATTTTGGATTAATTTAAATATTTCATAGGTATTGTCACACAAATATGAACATACATTTAATTTTTAAACCTGCATATAATTAAACATTTATATTAATATTGACTTGTATGCTCCTTTCCACAAAGGTATTCCCTTAATAAGAAATTATACGTAATTTGTATGCAACTCAAACATTTACTAGTAGGTTTTTTTTTTTTTACATGGCTAAACTTAGGATCTCGTCAATATCCCCTTTTTAAATTAATAAATCAACGAATTCATTTACATATTTAAGCACAAGTGGGGTGGTCAGATCTTTAATGATCCATTTTTTAAAAAGAGAGAGGACAGGCTTTATTTCTAGTATGTTGATGATGATTATAATTTTGCTTCAGTTAAAGTCCATCTCTTTTTAAACAGGTCTTCCATGTTCCTTATTCTGTGAGATCCTTCTTCCATAAATTTGACTTCTTGAATCATAATTTTCCATTTGATCAAATCTGGGGGTTTAGTATGGGGGTATAAATTCTGAGTATTCTAAATAAGTATTGTTCGTCTTTTCCAAGACGTACTAGAGGTTTTTCAAGTATGATGTTCTCTGCTTTTAAATATAGTGGTTTGTTGAAAATCTCTTCAATAAACTTAAAAACTTACTAACTAACAAACTAACCAAAAGTTGTTCAATAGATTGCATGAATAGAATATATGTAAATGATTTGCATTACTTTCACCACAGTTTCTCCAGCACTGAGAGCTTGCACATCTTTTATATTTGGAAATGATTCCAGGCATCAGGAAGTACCTCATAGTTATTTTCCAAGCAAATTCTCTCCAGAACAAGGAACTGGTTGTGGTATATATTTCATTAAACATCTGTTTCCAGTCTTCATCAGTTATTTGTGTTCCCAACTCTTTTTCCCATTTTATCTTTACATTGTGTGAGTCATCTTCCACATGTAAGATTTCATGCACTCTACCCATAGTATGTTTGGAACTAGCATTATGATTTTTCACGATATATTTTAACGGGGTGAATATTTTGCATGTCCATTATTTGCTGTGTAGATAACTTCTTATTTGCAAACATCTGTAAAATTGATATTTAGGTATTTCATAATGTTTGGAGATATTTTCAAAGGAATCAATTTCATTTTTAGAAAACATTTGCCAGAATCTGACTAATCCTTTTTTAGCCCATGAATTGAACACAGTATCTGTTGAGTTGGCTTAAATTCTGGATCTCTAGCAATTTCATAAAAAAAATAATAAAAAAAAAATCATTTCATTTTCTTTATGTTTAATATCTTAACAATCCTCCTCCACGTTTTTACAGTGTTTGAGATGCAGTAATTATTCATCCCACAGTCTCCTTTCTTTTTACCAAATATTACTGAGACTAAAGATTTCTATTTCCTTCCACTTTGGATTTTCGGTTTCACTCATCCATGTCATTATGTGTTTTATCTGAGCTGCATAGAAATACTTACTGAGATCTGGTAACGACAACCCCCCTGTGGATTTCAGTTTCTTTATAATTTTTTTAATTTCACTCTCGGTCTTTTGTCATCCCATATGCATTTTCTTAGGGTTTTATCCCATTTCTTAAAGTTTATTGGCGTTATATAAGTTGTTAAGTTTTGAAACAGGAACAATAATTTTGGAAGTATTGTCATTTTAATTGATTTAATTCTTTCAAAGATGGATAGATTCAATATTTTCCATCTATTCAGATGTTCTTTCACTTGGTCTGTCAATTCTGTGTAATTTATTGAAAACAGTTCCTCCAGTTTTTGGGGAATTTTAATTTTTTGCATTCCCATTTAAATTTGTATTCTCTCTTAAGATCATTTTCTATTTCCTCACCTACTGTCATTGCTCTGTTTTATTAATATTGAATTTATATCCAGAGGCTAAACTATATATTCTTATTTCCTCCATTAAAGTTGGGAGGGATGTATTTAAATTTGTTAAGTAAACTATCACATTATTGGCATAAAGTGCTAATTTATGTTCATTTTCTCCAATTTGAATGCCAGTTATTGTTTTATTTATTCTTATACTTTCAGCTAGTGGTTCCATGCATAAAGCAAATATTTGTGGTGACAGAGGCTCACCTTGTCTTGTACCTCTTTTGAGTAGAAACGTGTCAGACAGTG